CTATGTAGTAGAGAAACATCATTACTAACATCAAAGATCTGGGTATCATCAGCATATGAACTAACCTTAGACTGAAGCTCAGATAATAACAAATCATTGAGGAAAATATTGAAGAGGAGAGGGCCTAATACAGACCCTTGAGGAATTCCTCTGATAAGTGGGCTTTCCTGTGTAGTGGAGATGCGTCTTTCAATTACTGGGACTGATTTGGCTGTTGATGGCGGGTTCTTAGCGTTGAGTGCTGAGGGAATTAGTGGCGCTGGTTATGATTACAAGTAAACTGTTAATGATATTGATAACAAGCGAAAAAACAATGACGAAAAAGAGGAGCGGGCTCCCTATACGTTAATTTCGGGATAAATAGACTTTTGATCAAAAATGCTATTCAGGATAGTGTAATTCGCAAAGATAGTCCCAGATAATTCCTTCCAAGATAGATAGATAGATATTCATAGCGTCAAAAAAAATTAAAAGTTAGAAATTATGAGCATTTTAAAACTTTTTTTTCAATATTTCAAATTAAAATTGATTAAAGTCAATAAATTGGACAACTTGATATTTACATTCGAACAGCAAAAATTTTATATGTCGATATGTCTAATTGTATCTCGTGATTTAGGGCAGCCAAGCTTCCCATCAGCAATAAAATGTTATTTGATCGCGATATTGTTTCAATAGCGTCGGTGGTATAATGGTCAGCATAGCTGCCTTCCAAGCAGTTGATCCGGGTTCGATTCCCGGCCGACGCATTTATTTTTTCCTAAAAATTTTGCCATTTTGAGTATTCCAAGCTTTTTTCGTCCATTTCTTAGTATTTTAAGCTTATATTCTTTTGAGGAATGAAGAGGGACATTTAAAAAATCTTTAGGAAACTAGGGTTACCACAGGCAGCCCAAGYGATACACCATGAGCTTTTTTAAAACTTTGCTCTCCAATTTAATTTTGCTAGTGAAAGATATTATAAAATAACTAACAAAAGTAACAATCATGAATGCAGCTTTATTATACTCATAGCTAATGATGATGATGAAAAATTTTTTTTTGCTTTCTTGGGCATCGTATCTGCATGGGCTACCTGTGGTCAACTCTTTAATCGTTCGTATCGCCGCCCTTGCTAATCGCTAATGTCCTTGGTTAGTTGTTGTACCACAAACTAGGACACAAGGAATAAAACTTGTTTGACTTGTTTGATTAACTTTTTCCACGAATTGCAGGCAAAACCCCTGCATAGTTAATATCTCCGGTTCCAGCGATTTTTGGTCAGCGGACTGGTGCAAAATGCATATATTCACATAAGAGAACGTTTGTGAAATGCACATTTGTTGGAGAATTATTTTTACACTTTCCCTTCTTTGTTATTATTTTGATCACATACCTAATTCAATTTCCCTCTTTTCCTGGTCGAATAATAGTGGCATCCCACTAATGTCATAACGTACCTTCGACTAGACTCGAGCTCCTAAGCAGCCGTTGGTTGCCACACAGCCTATGTGCCGACACAGCAGATGCGCACGCGCAGGAAATTCCTCGCATAGCATAGTTTATCATGCGCAGCAAATCCAACCTCGACTTGCAACTATTATATTTGTGGTCACTGAAAGAAACTGTAAATTGGAATATTGCAACGTTTTATTCGATATTTCGATCCATTCGATTTTGACCCGTTTTATTCGATATTTTATTCCATTCGATTTTGACCCGT